ACCTCACATCTGCGAGCTACCTCGGTGGACAAAAGAGAGGGCGGCCGGATATCCGCCACAAAGCATACCTCCTTCGGGCCACCACCCCCCCCGGAATCCCGAAAGGGGGCTTCCAGAATACACCCGTCGCCCAAAAAACACCCCAAAAGCTACTCCGGGATACCGGAGGGGATGGGGACATTCCCTAGGCAATCCAGATTCCACGGCAAACAAACGCCACCGCCAAGAAACCTCAAGGGAATGGGATGGCCCCCCCGGTGTCCTTTCCCCCACCTAGGAACTAGCGCGCCTGTGGGAGAAATCCCAAAGGACAAAAAGAGGAAGGAAAAAAGGGAGGAGTGGGGAGGAGGAGGGGGAAAGGAAAAGGGGGAAATGGGGAGGATGGGATAGGGGAGGGAGATTGGGGGGTAATTAGGTTCGGTCTGAGGAAGAAGCCCGATGGGTCTAATTCCTCAGACCAAGAGCCTCTTCCCCCACGCCAAGGCCCCCCCTTGAAAGGGGTATAGGGCAAAAGGGACAGTACCACTACAAGAATTGAGGGAATGATGTTTTTCATAGTGACAGAACAGTATCTATATGGGAAAGAAGAGAAAGATCATGAGTTTTGGGTAGCATTCTGTACAGTGATGATGCGCATACCGCTCTTAAGAGCATGAAAAGAAATATCTTTACCAACAGGGTGTAGGAGTGCCTTGCCAATACTGTGGTCAAAAGATAGGGCGGTAGAGGAAGTCGGTCTTTAAAGTGAAGAATTTAGTCCATTGTGCATTAATGAAACCGAGTGTGGAAAGGGAGTGTAGGACGTGTCGATCTTTTCTGAGAAGAACGAGAAGGTGGAGTGTATCATCAGCAGGTAATTGTTGTTGGCGTTTAGGCGGGGGGAAACCAGAGTTGGTCCGATGTGGAAACGGGCTGGCGATTCGAAAATTGCCACACCGTAGAGGGGGAGGCTGGAAGCATAGTCAAAGGAGAGCGGAGGTCAGATAATCAAAGGGAGTCAGTCGGACCTCAGAAACCTCAAGCGGGTGAGGAAACAGCACCGTCAAGAGGTACAGAGGCATGAGGAGTGTCCGAAGAGTGGTCCAAAGATGAGGCTGGGTCAAAAACGGGGTGCGGTATCAAGAAGGGGCCCGGGGTAGCAGGTTCATGGATTGAGTTCCTCCATGGTTAGGTTACTTCTTTCTTTTTGTTTTTAAGAAAAAAAAAGAAAAAAAATAGAAAAATAAAAAGATAAGAAAAAAGGGGGGACCGGGGAGGGATAGTTCCTACGAGGATGAAAGGGCCAGAAATCTCCCTCCGCACCCAAGAGGACCTCACATGGCAAGTAGCATAGATGCAGCATGGAGCCCATGCCATACCCTAACCCATCATGCCAGAAAACCCGCAATCCGGGATAGCAACCTCACATCTGCCGAGCTAACCTCGGTGGACAAAAGAGAGGATGGCCGGATATCCACCACAAAGCATACCTCCTTCGCCACCAAACCCCGGATTCGAAAGGGGCTTCCAGAGATGCACCCATCGCCCGAGACAACCCCCCCCAAAACCACCCTCCAGGATACCGGGGGAAGGAAACAGGATATCCCCAGGCAATCCAGATTCCATGGCAAACTACGCCAAACCCCCAAGAACCTCAATGGAATGGGATTGGACTCCAGTACCCTTTCCCCTACCTAGGAACTAGCATGCCTGTGGGAAAAAATCCCAAAGGCCAAAAAGGAAGGGCAAAAGGAAGGGGTGGGGAGGAGGTGGAGGAAAGGAAAAAGGGGAGGATGAGGGGGTGGGATAGGGAAGGGGGGGTTGGGGGTAATTAGGTTCGTTCTGAGGCAGGAGACCAACAGGTCTAATTCCTGAGACCAAGAGCCTCTTCACCACAACAAGGAGCCCCCCTTGAAGAGGGGTTTGGAGTTTGGAGGACATCGACTGTGGTTCCCTCCAGGAATGACTGCATTTGGTGTACGATTTCTGCCATTTCCTGCCAGTTTTTTTTTTCTTCCTGGCACTAAAAAACCTCTCCCACCGCCCACAGGATGGGTATGGGGTGCATAATAAACATATTAAACTAACTAACTCTTGAGAGGCTGTGGCTACCCAGGTTTTCCCATGGTCTGGATGTTTTGTATCTTTTTGTACCCTTTAGATGGTGTGCCTGGCAATTTAAGTTACAGCACAGTCTTTCCTGTACTGAAGAGGGACACATTTCAGGGTGAAAAAGCTTACAGGAAGGGAGTTTGCATTTTCCTGTTGTGATATGGGCACAGCATTTTCTAGGGTGGTCAAAGTTGCACGTCCCATCTGTTTTTCCAGATTTCCCATGCCTGTAGATGCCAAGTGCACAGGCTTGGTTTCTGTTTTCCTTGGGTTTCTGTGACTGTATTCCCTGTTGGTGCATGTTTACCTGTCTCTTTCCTATCCTCGCTAGCGCTAACAATGGGGCTCTCGCCAGTTGTTTTTGGTAATGTATCCTCACTGCTAGTGGAGTCCCCTTGTTCGCTATCTCCTGTGGTATTACTAGTTTGTAATATTGGTTTTATCTTGTCTTTGACTACACTTGTTTCCTCACTACAGCTCCTGTCTCCCTCGGGGTCATTTATATGCATTCCCTCCTGCATACATTTACTGACTACCTGGACAGCACCTCCAGCTTCACCATTACTGTCTCCCAGGATAGCATTATCAGCCCTACATTTACTGACTACCAGGGCAGCACCTCCAGCCTTACAGTTTCTGACTACATGGCCAGCACCAAGGGCGATACCATCCAGCCCAGACTTTTTATTCTCCCAACTGTTATAGAAAGCTTCCAGGTTTTCTATGAAGGCTGCTTTGATGTTATCCTCTTTTAATACCAATGTGATTTTAGTCCACAGATTGATCTCATTTGGGCATACCCAAAAACACTTCCCTGATTTAATACTGCTTGTAGCTAGTTCTTGGATATCTGCACAAGGGGCGTGACACCAATTTTCAAAAAAATGGCAATTTATCCATGCGGAAGCCCGTTTGTTTGATTGACTGCAGAAGACACAGACCAGCCAGACTATGGGAAACAAAAGAGAGGAACCTCAACCTCTCCAGGGACAGAGGTTTTTTAGGGCCAGAAGGGAAAAAAGACTGGCAAGAAATGACAATAGTCCTATGCCACCTGAAAACACTTCTGGAGCAGAGGCACAGACATTGGCCTCTACCCCAGAACAACAGATATTAGAGCCAGCAAATAACCCCCCCCTAAATTCCACCAATACGACACTTGGCTTTGCAAACATACAGGGTCTAAAGCTGTCAAAAAACAACAAAATTCCTTATGTCGAGGGACTGCTCAGACGATAATTCACACACAAACTATTAAATCTCTGCAACAAATTCACCTTAAACCAGCAAATAGTAGAGCCTACAAGACTAGAAAATATGCTGGACCTCATCTTCACTAACAACGGCTGGGTTTGAGAGGGACCTGCCCTCCCAAATCAACCTACGTCTCACCTCCTGGCACTATATAAGGCCCGATTCTGTCACTTCAACTTCATATTGTTTCAGACAACGGAACAATGCTCTTCTCCAGACTGAGGGACTGACCACCTCAAAACTTTAAGGGTGATGGACTGATTACATCGTCTTCAACGTTTCAAAATAAAGATACCTAACTGTTGCATATGTGTCTTACCTAACAATCTGTCGGTATTTAATACCATTTTAATGTTCATTCTGTCAGACACTGCAACACAAGGGTATCTTGGTACAGACCATCTACTTCGACAACCTCTACTAGTGAGAACGGCTGGGTTTGAGAGGGACCTGCCCTCCCAAATCAACCTACGTCTCACCTCCTGGCACTATATAAGGCCCGATTCTGTCACTTCAACTTCATATTGTTTCAGACAACGGAACAATGCTCTTCTCCAGACTGAGGGACTGACCACCTCAAAACTTTAAGGGTGATGGACTGATTACATCGTCTTCAAGTATCTTCTGCTTCTATCAACTTTTCTGTACTCGACTGAAGAAGCCTACTGTGTAGGCGAAACGTTTCAAAATAAAGATACCTAACTGTTGCATATGTGTCTTACCTAACAATCTGTCGGTATTTAATACCATTTTAATGTTCATGGTAAACAAGACGAAATTAAAACTTCAGAGTATAAAACAATTTCCAACCACACAGTAGAGTGAAAAACTAACGTCAAAGACATGGGAGTTATCATGTCGGAGGATCTCACCTTCAAGGACGATAACATTGTATCAATCGCATCTGCTAGAAAAATGACAGGATGGATAATGAGAACCTTCAAAACTAGGGATGCCAAGCCCATGATACTCTTCATATCGCTTGTTCCATCTAGGTTGGCATATTGCTACACACTAACAGCACCTTTCAAGGCAGGTGAAATTATTGACCTAGAAAATGTACAGAGAACCTTCATGGCACGCATAACTGAGATAAAACACCTCAATTAC